ACGCCTGCCCCGCCCAGCCGCGCCCCTGCGCCCGCCAGGCGCTCGACGACCTCTTCGCGCCGACGGGCCACCTCAAGGCGGTGGCGCCTCGCCGCCGCGCCGCGCCTGCCGCCGACCTGTCGACGGTGCGGAGCGCGGCGGCAAAGACCCGCTGGGTGGGCGAGGGCACGCGCGAGGAGGGGCGGGTGGTGCACGAGGCGGCGGAGGTGGACGGCAAGCGGATCAGCGTCGGCGGGTGGGCGTCGTTGCAGCCTTTCGCGGCCGACCACACGTCCAAGGACTTGCAGCTCGTCGAGGTGGAGGCGCTGTGGGCGGTGGGCGGCGCAAAGATGTGCCGCGTCCGCCGGCTGTGGCGTCCGGCGGAGACCTTTGCCGGCGGGGTGCTCGACGGCGCGCTCAAGGAGGGGGTCCTGATCCCCGACAGCTGCCCGCAGGAGCTGCCGCTCCACGAGCTCAAGGCGCCCGTGGACGGCGCCGCGTCGGGCCTGCACACGGGAGAGTGGCGGTACTCGCCCAAGTGGGCGTCCTACACCAAGCTTGCCCCGCCGCCCTCGCGCAAGCGCAGCGCGGCGCAGAGCGCGGCGAAGCGCGACCAGCCGGCGTCGGCGTCCGGCGAGGTGTGCGCAGCCCCAGATGCGGGATCCGCATCGAGGCCGCCGTGCGGGCTTGAAGAGACGCCGTCTTCCAGCCGCATGGCCACGGCATCCACACAAACCAATCCCTGGCGCCGTCGAGGCATGTCGTGTGTGATATGCCGTCTTCACGGCCCCTTGCCTCTGTCCTTGCCCGACGCAGGCGCTCAACGTGCTGGAGCTCTACTCGGCGAGCGGCGGCCTCTCCTTCGTGGAGGAGGCCGAGTGCGCCGGCGGTGCGCGCCTCAAGACGCGCTGGTGCTGCGAGTGGTCAAAGGAGGAGGTGGAGACGTACCGCGACAACCACCCCGACTGCAACGTCTTCCACCTCGACGTCGAGGTCTTCCTGCGCGTCTGCTCCAAGTGGGCCGCCATGGCCGACGGCAGCTTCGCGCCCAAGAAGAAGGGCGGCAAGGCGGCCGCCGCCGCGAAGGGCGCGCAGGAGGTCGTCGACGTGCGCGGGGTGGACCACCGCATCGAGTACCTCTGCCGCTCCCCGGGCGGCGCCGAGCGGTGGGTGCGCGACGAGGAGGTGGCGGACGCACTCGTCCAGGCGTACGTGCAGGCCAACCGCGGCGCGCTGCCGCTCCCCGAGAACGTGGACGTTGTCATGGGCGGCCCTCCGTGCCAGGGCGTCTCTGGCTTCAACCTGTACCGCCACGAGGACCCGCTCGGCGACTCGAAGAACCGGCAGACGATCCACTTCACCGAGATGTGCCTGCTGCAGCAGCCGCGCTTCGTCATCATGGAGAACGTGGTGGGCATCCTCATGTTTGCCGACAGCCTCGTCATCAAGACGTCGATGCGCTCCTTCATGCAGGGCGGCTATCAGGTCCGCATCGGCGTCTGCGTCTCGGGCACCTTTGGGCTGCCGCAGAACCGCGCGCGCACCATCCTCTTTGCCGCGCGCGGCGAGGAGGCGCTGCCGGAGTACCCGGCGCCGACCCACCAGCTGCCGCCCGTCCCAATCTCGATGATGACGACTTGGATGAAGAAGCACCTGCTCAACGTGCCCTCTGCGGCGGAGTCGGCCACCCTGGCCAAGCCCCTCACTCTCGCGGACGCCTTCTCGGACCTGCCGTCGCTCAAGAGCCCTCCGGCCCGCGGCTTCGGCTCCAACAAGGACAACCCCAACCGCGCGCCCAAGGAGACCAAGGCGACGCCCTTCCGCGCCGCCACCTACGGCGGCAAGAGCAGCTCCGGCAAGCCGGTGCAGCCGCTTAGCGACTACCAGCGCGCCGCGCGCGAGCGCTGCACGGGCAAGGAGCTGCACGACCACGAGTCGTTCGTGCTTAGCCCTAGATGCTGCAGACACCTCCCTGTACTCAGATGCTGCAGACACCTCCCTGTCCTCACTCCGCCACTCGAGACGACGCCCCTCGGCTGCACTGCGCAGTACTCCAAGCCGTACC